TGCACCGAGGAGGGAAGAGCTCCACATTTGTCAGTTTTAAGATTCCTTGCAGCATTATAAATTAGCTTTAAAATATACCTTTCAACTTTCTTTTAATCAATTAAGCTCTAATTTTCTGACAAGAAAAACAAATACAGTAGAACCTCTGGTCAATTTGGTCGTGACCCAAACCTAATTTTGGAAATTTGGCGCTTACAAAAAAAAAAAAAATAGCGTGGAAGGGGAAATCGGCCATGGGGTGGTGGTGGTGGATTTTTTGGTTGGAACCCAATTTGGTCGTGGTCAGAAGTGTTTGTAACCAGAGGTTCTACTGTAGCTGCTAACCTGCAGAAAATCTTATTGTCTTTAATTCTCCCAAAATAAAAATAGGCAGAGCTGATGTCTACAATTACCAGATCCTTAGGTGTAGATAGTTTTCTAAGTTAAACTAAAAAACCTCATACACAATAAAAAAAGTAATCACAGATCTTTCATAATTGCTTCAACAACTCTGATGTCTCTATTTGTCAGTCATGCAGATGCCTCTCCTGATTAATCCAAGGATCCTCTGTGCTGTTACAGATGTTTATATGATCATTCCAGTACTAGAACACCTTAATTTATCTTGGACCGACAGTTACAGCTGCTTTTAGATTGTATAGCAAATATTCAACTCCTCAGGGAAACAGCAGGTGTTCTTATCTGGGGCCTGAAATTCTTAAGAGGATGGTATGATCAGGAAAGCACACAGTAAATATTTTTTTTCCTGCTGCTACTATATTTCTACCATAAAATCTTCATTGTTATTTTAATAATTTTGTTAAATATATATCTCACCTTTCCATTAGAAGTTCAAAGCAATGTAAACAGTGCTTCCATCTTCCATTTTTCCTTACAACTCTGAGAGATAGGTTGGACTGAGAAAAAGTTGTTAATCACGAAGTCGTGTCCAACCCATCACGACCCATGGACGTTCCTCCAGGCCTTCCTATCCTCTACCATCCCCCGGAGTCCATTTAAGCTCACGCCGACTGCTTCAGTAACTTCATCCAGCCACCTCATTGTCTATTGTCCCCTTCTTCTTCTTCTTTTTACCCTCAATCCAGGGGTGAAATCCAGCAGGTTCTGGAGAACCAGTAGCAGAAATTTTGAGCAGTTCAGAGAACTGGTAGCAGAAATTTTGAGTAGTTCAGTGAACTGGCAAATACCACTTCTGGCTAGCCCGAGTGGGATGGGAATGGAGATTTTGCAATGTCCTTCTCCCAAGAGTGGGGAGGGAATGGGGATTTTGCAGTATCCTTCCCCTGGAGTGGGGTGGGAATGGAGATTTTGCAGTATCCTTCTCCTGCCACACCCACCAAGCCACACTCACCAGGCCACACCTCGCTTAAGCCATGCCCACAGAACCGGTAGTAAACAAATTTGGATTTCACCACTGCCTCAATTGTTCCCAGCATTAGGCTCTTCTCCAGTGAGTCCTTCCTTCTCATTAGGTGGCCAAAGTATGTGAAAAAGTAAACTAAACTAATTCAATTAGCTTCTGTGGCTGATGCTGGACTTGAACCTACATATTCTGCTGCCAATCCAGCACCTTAACGATTGCACTATACCAAATAAATAAAACAACTTTCTAAATAAAATAACTTATTGACATACTGCTCAGTTAATCTGTTTAGCTTCTTGATTACATATCTGTTCGGTGTAATTTATAATTGGTATTTATAGTAATATCAGTTTTCTGCTGATAAAATTTTAGAATTGGAAAAAGATTCTTCAATTACACTAAATAATTTGTTGTGAGATTGTTTTGACCAAGAGGATTATGGTGAATTTTACAATATTACTTTGGAAGACTGAAGGCAGCTCTGCAAAAAGTGGAGCCAATGACTGTGGTGGAAAGGAAAGCACGTTCCCCAATCGGTACTTGCTAAAGAGTGCAGTTCTTTGAAATCAATCTGGGGAAAAAGAGGATTTGAGATTTCCCAAAAGTACTCCAGACAGTTGCTCCTTATGAAGACACTGCAAGAAAGTGGTGTGCAATAGGTTTAGAGCTCTGGGAGACAATTGCTATCCTGCTCAAACTATGGTCAGTACATCTGAAAGGATACGAAATTCACATTCTTCCTTTTCTTATCATTTTCAGAAATTGCTTGTTAAACTGCTTTTCAGCTATTAGAAACTTTTGGATTGACAAGTCTTTACAGCACCAGGTAGGTTTCCTTCAATCCTTAGCAAAAAAAAGTTTAAAGAAATGTGGTGATTTTTTTTTTTTAAATAAGCAGCAAAGGGGTATTACAACTTTGATTTTAAAAAGTTACAAACAGAGTAAGAGTTCAGATAAATTTAAAATATGATTTTGGAATTAATTATAAAGAATCTTTCCTGTGGAAAAATGCTTTTGTTTTGCATTTTTGTGAAAAAAAAACATAGTAAGATAAGATTTTTAAAATTGGGACAGTAGAGCGAACTAAAGGTTACAATTAAAGGAGAACAACACATGATTTTTTTTTTAATTTAGACTTCTATACCGCTTCATAGTGCTTTACAGGCCTCTCTAAGCAGTTTACAAAGTTAGCATATAGCATATTGCATAATAGCATATTGCATTAGCATTAGCATATTGCCCCCAACAATCTGGGTCCTCATTTTACCCACTTCGGAAGGATGGAAGGCTGAGTCAACCTTGAGCCGGTGAAGTTTGATCTGCTGATCTGCTGAACTAGCAGTCAGCTGCAGTACTGCACTCTAACCACTGCGCCATTTTGGCTCTTTACTTACTCTTTACTTACAATTATAGAATAAAGCAAAATATTCTAACATTAGACATACTGAAGGATATTTTTGAAAGTAGGTTTAAGATACAGAAGGATCGCAAGAGACTTGAACACTTGGCCTTATCGAACAAAATGAATTTCAGTAAAAAGTAAAGTTCTACATCAAATGCATAGGTATAAAATAGGTGGGGTCTGGCTCAATAGCAGTAACTGTGAGAAGGATCTTGGATTTCTAGTGACAATCATTTAAAAATGAGTCAGAAGTGAGCTGCAGCTGCCAAAAAAGCTAACTCAGTCCCAAGCTGCATCAACAGAGGGATAAAACAAAGATCATGTAAAGCATTAGTACCACTTTATAATGTCTTGGTAAGATCACACTTGAAATATTGCATCCAGTTTTGGCTACCATGATATATAACAGATGTTGAGATTTAGAAAGAGTGCAGGGAAGAGAACAATTAATCAGTGGAACAGCTTGCCTCCAGAAGTTGTGGTGCTCCAAAACTGGAGGTTTTAAAGAAGAGATTGGACAATCATTTGTCTGAAATGGTGTAGGGTTTCCTGTTTGAGCAGGAGGTTGGACTGGGTCTCTTCCAACTCTGTTATTTTGTTCTGAAAGGGGCTTAGCTTGCAGTCCTAGTATAGATTCCTGGTAAGATATATGTTTCCCAAGTTTTTAGCGAGTTACTAATATTTTTAAACTTAATAGCTAATGTAGAAAAGGACATAAGGAAGAGAAAGGTTTTGGGAGACTTCATAGGCTATTTATAAAGCTGTGGTACAGCCAGTGTCCTGGGGAAATTGGAACCTAAAATATGGGGGTGGGGTGCATAGTTGTAGACCCTGGATGTTGCTGTTTTCATTTTCTTTATTGGCTAGCTCAACTTATCACCTTTCAGGTAATACCACCTACAGGCGTCTGCAAATCTGAGTAGATGACCAAACAATTGATTATTTGAACCACAAACAAAAAGAATGATTTATTCGTGCAACTTTCTGGTTTTCACAACATGCTGAATCATAAACTAATGCCAGATTAGATTTATACAGCTGATTGGTAATGGAGACATTCTGCTAGAACCTTTAACCATCCAAAACCTTAAAGGGCACCCATGAGCACTTTGATTTTAGCCAGGGAGTGGATAGGAAACCAGACTTTTTGATATCACACCTTGCTTGTTTTATCCCTACTTCTCCAAGGAATAGCTGTGACTTTTCTCTGACTGACAATACAGGATTAATTAATAGGATAAAACAATCACTGAGATATAAGGGACACTTTGGTTAACAAACTAATCCACAATTCTGTTTAAAAATCCAAATTAAAGCATTTCAAGTTGAGTGTATTCCATCACATCCTTGGTAATTAGCTCTGCTGTTAATATGGTGAATTAGGTCTTCCTGTTAAAAACTTTTAACAACATTCAGCTGGAATTTGCTTTCCTGTAACCTAAGACTCCTATTCCTCATGACTCTCCAAAGAAAACAGGTGAATGAGTAAAATGAGTACCAGTACACCACCAGCTATTTTGGGCAGGAGACTAAAATGGTTACAATTGGAAACAAGAGTCATGACAAAGGATTGCTATTGCAACATTTTTATTTTATTTTTTGCATATAAAGAGAAGATCGAAGTGAGCCCCTCTGTGTTGGTCTTGAGATGCTATTCAATAAGTTGGGCTTCTGGTCCACTTGAGTTACTTGAGCCTCAGCAATTATTTGATGGTGGGTGTATGTGTGTTAAAACAATCCTAACAACACACACAGTGTTATATTGGAGTCACTTTTTATTGAACAGCTAATTAAAAATGTTAATTCCTTCACTAAATCCATATATCATGCTAAGCCACGGTATATTTAAACTAATGCTCCTTGAATAAACATAGCTGGTGTCGCACAATATATTAACATGGCTTATGTTTATACATCACAATGGCTGATCCATAAGAGATGCTAAGCCAAATGCATTCTTTGGTCAGGGTTTAGTCACTGCAAGCCAATTCTGTTCAATGGTACAATTACACATACAGTGATGTATATATGTAATTATATATATAGAAAAGCCCAACATATTGTCCTAAAATTCAAATTCACACAGTTTCGTTAAAAAACTTCAGTTTTCATTAGCCTTTTCTCTTTCGGAACAGGAAGATTAACCGTGAAATCTTCTCTTCCCCCACCTTTACCTATTTCAGCTACTGTACTCAAAAGGATCGCACAGCCGCTTCTAGGAGCCCCCACTTTTGTGCTCCATAAGAGGCGATTAGTGCAGCATTTCCTCTCAAGCAGGGGTTGTTGGGAAGTGTAGTGTTTTGGACAGTCTCGGCTGCTTCTCAGGAGCTCCCGGGAACTACATTTCCCGTTTACAGGAGCCGGAGAACAACGGAGCTTTCTCTCTATCCGCGCTGGCTGCGGCCTTGCACTAAGCGAGAAAGAGGGAGGCTTGGGGGAGGGGCGGCGTTAGGCCCAAGGCCGGCTGAGGCCCGGAGCTGGCGGGGGAACGGCAGCTACACCAGAGGCGAATTGGCGAGGCTATGGACCCCGCCGAGGCTGTGGTACAAGAGAAAGCCCTGAAATTCATGGTAAGAAGGAAAAGAGTGGGGAGGGGATTGAAAGGAGAAAAGGGGGTTGGCAATGGCTGTGGCTGGTAATGGTAGTACCGTAGGAAGCCGAGGAGGATGGGGACTTGTGGAGAAGGAGAGATTTATACGGGTTCACTAACAAGTCATAAGGGCAACAGTTATCTTTTAAATGAGTCCAGAGGAAAAAAAACAAACATTGGGAAATTGAGATTCTTACGGGATACTGAGAAAATAAAGGAAAGCAAGCAAATCGTAGGTTTCTCCATCAGGTTTCCCCCCCCCCCTTTCCATAGATGATCCTCGGTTGTAGTGGAAAAGAAGTTCCCTGATTTGGGTTTTCTTTCTGTTTAGTTTTTTTTTTTTAATAACGGATTTTATAGGAATCTGGACTGAAGGCCTGGCTTTTATAATGAAGGAGCCCAGAAGGCCAAGTTTTGGATCAGAACATTGTGAGGTACATGTTGGAAGATGGGATGGGATTTAGGAAAAATGAAAATGCTTGTTATTTTTTGAGGGGCTTGATTAGATTAGCACCTGAACAACACAGGATAAGAAGCATTTTATACAAATGTTTTTTTTAAAAAAAACATTAGCAAGCCTAACTAAGATACAGAAGAATTTATGTAGTGTTTGGTATCAAAGAGGTTTGCAATTTACAAAGTAGATCATGATAGAAGGGCATTTTTATCAGTAAAATGCTGAGTTCTGTTATAAATATTGTATGATAGAATGTTAGATTAGTTACATTGCATTGGAAAAAGATTCTATTTGTGAGAGGGTTTTTTAAAGGCTAGATACATGGTTGCTAAATGTAACCAAGGAGTATAATCTCTACTCTGATGTATATGTTTAAGGCTGTTATTCTATGATGAGCAGTCTTTGCTGCCTTTCCTTATTGCATCTTGATGTCATATGACAGCAAAAGCTATGAGGACATTCTTCTCTCTAGGTACACACAAATTGGTGAGTTTGTGTAGAAACTACTACATTTCCACCCTCATTCCCCTGAAACCAAGATTGGTCTACCTCCAATCTTGTCATGTGTTGTAAATAGAGTCATCTCTGAGTAGAAATTGTATCTAAAGCAATATACGCTATACCTGATCCACCTTTCTTCCCTGTTGCCCTAAAGCAGGGGTCTGCAACCCGCGGCCCTGGAGCCACATGTGACCTTTCATCCCTCTGCTGCGGCTCCCTGTCACTCAAAATATGAGTCACAACCACCAATGTGCGACACCCACTGTCACGTGATTTATTTAGCTTTTCAACCCATATTTCTTTTTTCAGAGTTCAAAATGTTTTTGAAACATTTTGAAATAAAAAATTGTTTTCTCTGTAGCAGTTCATTGATTTCATAAATGCAACACACTATCGTTTTTGTATACATAGCATAAAGGTAAAAAAAAGATATATGCAGTGTTATCTTCATTTTAGATGTCAAAAGAGTTTTGTGATTCCCAGTGTGGGTAACGGGTCCAAAAGGCTCTTTGAATGTTTAAGCTTGCCGAACCCTACCCCAAAGGCTTTCATCCTGCTTTCATTGATATGCCAAGAAATCTGCATTTCCCGAGCATCTCTTTTGGACCAGTCACTCTCTCACAACCCAACTCAGCTCACAAAGTAGTTGTGCAAAAAAATAGGAGGAGGAAGGTGTATGGAATATGTTTGCTGCCTTGAGTAATTTGTATAAATAATGGTGGATACAAATACATTTATTCAATAACCACTATATCCAATATCTGCACTGGTACTACCAATTGCTGAGTTTTGAGAAAGGTAGCCACCCAAACCAAAATGCTGCTCAGTGGTTGGTCTGCCTAAATCATAAGCCTTGTATGGCAAAGCAATAGGCAATGTTTTAATTTCATGGGAGCCAGTGACATGTATTTTTCCTATAAAGCTTGCAGGTATTGCATGTTTCCTAGTTTTCATATTATACAATTTAAAGGTAATCTCTCAAAATTTGGGAGAAACAAGCTGTAAGGCAGTGGAATTATGGTGGGCAGTATGTACAGTCAGAAAACTGATCCTTGCAGGCATTGGAAAATTGTATGTTCTCATATTGAAAACAAGAGGGGAGAGCTAAGCCTCAATTTCAGAAAGTGTAAAATAGCTGAATAAATTTACAGTGTTAAACTATTACTGCTGTAGGGTGTGATTGATGAAAGACTGCCAGGGTATACATAAAAGTAGTTTTCAGTGTCACTATATTTGAAATTTGAGATTTGGAAGCTAAAATCTATTCTACTGCCTAGTCTAGTTAATACCTTTGAAGAGGCAAATAATAGCTTCCGGCCAAAATGTTTTTTGTTACTCACGTTTGAGAATGTAACCTGTATTTATTGAAAGGACATCATATGAGTTTGGTAGTCTAGGATATACTTCCTTTATTGTTATATATTCATGTTAATGAATATGATATGTTTTCTCATACCTATGGCTATTGTATCTATCATCTGGACAAATAGACTAATGAGGGAAAAGATATTAGATACTTCTGCCCTTCATAAGAAACATTCCTGACCTACTTTCTTTTTTGGAATACCATTTTCCAGATAGATTTGGTCTATTTTAAAAATACCTGTATTTATCTTCATAAAACATTGAAAAATGGATTTTTCTATGGGAAGAAAGACCTCCAAGTAATTTTTTGTGATTTAAAGCTAGAATTTCTTTTGGAAGATTGCAGATTCTACAATTAGTATATCTTTGGGTTTTGAAATGTTCTTAAAATCAAAGTTTTATATATTTCATCATTATTTGTATTGGCTATACTTGATCGGCACAATACTAATCAAAAGTTGATTTACCTAATAGTTAAAATCATTTAACAAGCAGCTACTCTACCCTTTCCTCTTTGGGTCCTTGGAAGACCACCAGGTGAAATCAATCTCTGATAAACCCTGAATTACCATTATAGCTTTATTTGTGAAGTTTTCCTGACAAGTCTTCACCAATTTATGGCATTGGATTTAAAAGATTAAGGGTATGACCATTTCTTGTTTTCTGATTATGCATACAATCATTTGTTAACCATTATTAGTAAAAATACTGGTCATTCAGCCTAAAGAGGAGCAGTCAACAATTAAAGGCAAGATTAGTAAATGTGACTTGAACATTTTCAGATTTAGTTCTCTGGTTTTTCCTTTGAAAAACTTTCCAAGTATTAGTTGGAAGCACAACCTTTGTCTTTTCCACCTCTTGTGCTGCATTCTGGTGCTCTTATTTAAATGGGGCATAAATTGTTCCTTACTTTGATAGAATAATTTTGCCCTTGTTGAATGGCTATGAACACAGGCTGGTGAATGGGGATTTTCTGACCAACACTATGTTCCTCCCTTTCCCAGGATATTTGTGGTTATTGGGGAAGAAATGTTTTCCTCTGGAGGGACAGCAGATCACTTTGACTACTTTGCCTAATTATACAATGGGGGAGGAGGCAGATTGCTTCAATTCTTGCTTGGTTTTTGCCCAAATTGTTTGGGATACTGTAATCAGGAAGAGCAGATGGAGTCAGCAGTAAACTCACAAGCATGTTCAGTCAGCCAGTAGGGACTCAAGTGATTTTTCCTCCTATCCCTCATTCTCTATGCTGCTTCTGGGCATTTTCACAGAGGTTCCCTTCATTTTAGAAACTGATAGTTGATCTTTTTTGCATGGGTGTGAATGCATCTGCTTGTGTATGGATCTTTTCAATGTCTCTCTCAACTGCAAACTGTAGAGGTCGTAATATCTTTCTCTAAGAAGAAGACAAGTGTGATGAATGTTTCACGCAAGGAGAAAACTTTCATTCAGAGTTTGTGGGGAAGGAAAAAGTAAGAAAGCTAAAAGAAAGGAACAAAACTATTCTTGAACAGATAAAAGATAGCCAACCATCCTTGCTGTTCCGTCTTCAAAAGAAACCTAACCGCTGGCTTTTTTGGGGTATTTGTCCAGGTATTGTAGATTGATTTGAGTTGCATCAAAATGTTTTTCAGAAGAGAATTCCTATTACAATGCAATGCCAAATGAAGTACTTTTCTTTTGATTCCAGGTATGTTGTATAAGCATAGGGATTGTTGGTCAAGAGATCTACTCTATGCTTTCTGGTTTCTTGATCTTGCAGACTGTATGTAATATAAGGGTGCCACAAGCAATAATAAAAATACTGCATTAACAATAATACACTATTAAATCCTTTCAGGTTGGGCTATTTTTAAGCAAATAGTTTCTTGACTAGTTATTATTGAGTATACATATTCTGTATAAACCAGCTTTAATAAGGATATAATTAAACATAAAATACTGAATAGTATCATATTGTAAATAAAGGGTATTCTGAGGATGTAGGCTGGGCAGTTCCAGCTTTTCTACGATAAAATATATATTACTTACTTAGCATATGGGAATAAAAACTATAAAATGACTTGAAAAGATTTTCAGAGCTTATGCAAATATAAGAAAAATACCATAGATGGTTTGTATTTTCTGTAATTTAACCTGAATTGGGTCTTGGATCTTTGGTAATCTTTGGACAAAGTCCCTATCCCATCTCCTTCATATTGAATCATTTTCAAGGAATCTCTTTATTAACTTTTCACTCTGATTAGTTGTTTGGCACCAATCCTTAGCATTATTAGTGATCACTATCATTGCCCTTCAAATATTTTTGAGGACTTTCCCAGTTACTCAGCTTATTTGGAAACAAATATTTTAGGTGAGCTTCATGGATTAGTTTATGACGTTACTGCCTTGAATACTAATACCCTCAAGGACATCCCTGTTGAAAACTTGTATTTCATCCATATTGCTGTATGCTGTAATTATATATTATTTGTTAAGAGTTTTAGACAATCACAATTATATGGTATATGGCTTGTCTCATAAATGTCTTTAATGCTAATGATAGGTTAGGAGCTTCTCCAGTGGAGTTTTTATCTTTCCATGGACAGGAATTGGTTTATTAATCTTTCATGTCCATTCTTGGTGGATAAACTGTTTAACAAGCAAGAGAATGATCA